ATGGGAGAGTAGATGAAGGGCCCTGCAGTGCACTAGCTGATGTCTTAGCACGAGGAATGGAAGAAGGGCTCTCCAGCTCAGCAGGTGACCTCTCTGGTACAACAACAGTTGAAATTTCATGAGGGTCAAGAGCAAGCAAAGAGGCAGGGACCTCAAATTCAACCAAGGCTCTTGTGGCCAGCGCATCAGGGAGAGAAGAAGCAGGCTCAACAGCCAGAGGAGTAGAGATGCCTAAGGAGGTAGAAACATCTTGAGTTGAAGTCCCAACTAAAGGAATGAGCCCTCCAGAGTCTATGAGCACATCTTCAGAAACAGGAGGAGCAGGAGCATCATCCTCTTCTTCATCAGACCCCTCGGCCTCTTCCTTAGGGGGAGTTGAAAAGTCAAAGTTCAGTTCAAGGTAAGTGCTTTCAGCTATACTTTGGAAAGAAATTCACCCTTTTGCCCACCTGGTGAGAACGTCATCCTCTAGCTGGGCAATCAGCTCATCTTTTTTTCGAATGGTAGTGTCTCGAACCTCCAGCGCCTCCCTGGCAGCCCCTAACTCTTCCCTGAGAGCATCATTGGCCTTTGCTAACACCTCGTACTCTCTCTTCATGTTGGAGCTTTCTGGATAGAGGTAGAGGCAGAGGAAGTACCCATTTTCTGAACCTTAGCTCGAGTAACTAGGCTCCCACCAGAACTGCCCTCAGCCTTGCGCTTGGTACCACCCTTGTTTTTCTTCTTTAATAGCTCTACCTTAGCTTGGAGCATCTTAGGGGTAGGCTTCATTGTAGAAGACCCTGAGAGATTTGGCTTAAGGTGGTTAGTCAAAAGGAAAAAGAAAGGGAGGAAAACAATGAAACCAAATAAGGGAAAGATCATTACCTTCTATATCCTCAGGTCGGATAAAGAAAAGTGGGATTGGAGGAGTGCCGAATCCCTGCCTTTCTAATTCCCAGGGCTTAAGGAGCTCAGAGTACCTCTATGGATTACACTTAGCCAACTTCAGTTTCACCCGCTTGTCCTCGGCGCTGAGTTCAGGTCGAATGCCTAAGAAAGGAGGAACACCAAAAATGTAGAGATCAGGAAAATAACTCATAAATCTTCAAATCACAGTTCAGTCAGGCAAGAACTCACCTAAGTTATCTGAGGCTGACTAGGCTTTGGGAATCCCAAGAGTGTCTATTTTATCACAGGGTTGTATTCCTAGTTGACACCCCCAACGAAAAAGAAATTCTTTTCCCAGTCTTTATGAGAACTCGGGAGGTGTGTGAAGATCTGCCTAGACGAGGTCCGCCTAGAAACATATAGAAAGCCCTCAGTTGAGATAAGCTTGACATTAAAAATGTTCATAAGCAGAGAAATGGTGGGAGTCTCAAGCCCATGCTTCTTAAAGAAAACTAAAAGACCCACTAAAACACCCTAGAAGTTAGGAGAAAGCTGAGCAGGGCAGACATTGAGGTGCTGCAGAACATTTTTGATGAAGGGGTGCATAGGAAAACGAAGACCATTCTCAAAAGGAGCCACAAAGAAACAAACTCTTTTGTGCACTTAGACAACGTATGAGGTGAGTTTATCCGGGCACCAGGGCCAAACACCAAGGGAAAAATCAAAACGAGCACTAAGAGCTTCCATGAGAATAGGATCCATCCCATTGGGACCCACGAGCTCAGCATGCCTGAAGGCAGCTCCCATACCCGTTGTACTATCAAGAATCCCAACCTCACTCATCTTGTCCTTACCCTTGTCAGCACTAGGAGGAACGTGAGAGGAAGATGAAGGGAGTTCCTTGGAGTCCACCTCGGTATCGACAGCCTCAACACCGGGGAAGTTGTCAATCTCATCACCTACATCCCCTAAATCAAAACCTCTCTCGGCAAACCTGTCGCCTAGGAGGGAAACAGAGGAAAGAGTTGCTCTAGAGCAAGCAGACATGATTGACAAAGAGAAAGACAAATCGAAATAATTATAAAAAGAAGGAATACTAACTAAACACCCCCTGGTAATCCTAGGGTCAGCACTGTACCTCCCGACAATAAGAATTCGCACAGTGGAGTTCCAATCCACAAAGTAGGGAAAAGGAGATAGGCAACGATCGCAATTCCAAAAGAAAAAGAACCGAAAAATCCAGAAAAATAATGGCCACCTCGAAGTCGAGGGATCCAGAGTGAGGAAAGACAAGAGAAAGAGAAAAGGGCAGAAGGAAGTGTACCTAGACGGGGAAGAGAGCAACAAACAACAGCCAATGAACAAAATTGGAGAAGAGCAAAACAGGACTTCAAGTCGAACCCAAAAAACACAGTTTTGAGCAGAGAATAAGAGAATCGTGTGGAGGAAAACCCAGAAATCGTAGAGAGAAAGAGCCGGAGACAAAGGTGAACAGCGTGGAAGATGAACAGGGAGTTTTGAGCAGCCGATTGAGCATTTAAAGCTTGAATGACGTGGGCTGAAATATGTGCGGGAATCGAGGAAACCATAATTACTGTAAACCGTCAAAGAGCCCCCATATGTATCTCACATGCGGACTAAGGTCAGCTAGGTGCAGGCCTGGTCCAATGCGAAAGCAGCTCAACCCATGCCCAAGCTCGCTTGGGCCAAGGGCTGGGGGTAACTAATGAGGCCTAAAGTAAATCCCAAGTGTTAGCTTGGGAGGTCAGCTCAGACCGGGAGGTCAGCTATATTAACTAGGGTCAGAAGGCAAAGGTTGAATGTTTTTGAGGCAAGGCAACGGCTGGATAACCACGAGGGGTTCCTAAAGCGTTAGAAAACTATAATCAAGACACATAATCTCAACCAACCAAGATCTTCTCTATAATCAAGGAGAACTCCATGAAATAAGGGCAAGAATCTCGGCTAAGATCGCACTGAATAGGGAACAACCCTATAAATACTATGTAACGCCCCCAAGGAAAATAGGGGACTCTAGAGGCAAAAACTAGCCATTGTACTCTTGCAATCATCATTATTGAAAGACAAGTAGCAAGAGTATCCATTAAAGAGTGGATTAGCCGAGCTCCCAAGCTGATGAACCACTATACTTCTTCTATGTTAATCCTCCTAGCCCCTAGAAAAATATTTCTTTCATTATCACAACATCATCACTGAAAGGCATAATCACGATTCATTACTCATACAATTCGGGTTACGCCATCAAACATAAAGATAGAACTTAGTAAACGGGCACATCTGACACTTAAAGTTAAATTCTATAACACTTAGAATGAAGGAAAAACACTCAGAATTTATGTGATTGTGTGCAAACTATGCAAAAAAATTACATTTTTTCTTTGCCTGTTATATCAACAAAAGGAAGTCGTGTAACTATTGATAGAGGTGCCACTCTCCTACATATGAGAGATCCATAACAATGGTTTGAGATTTCGTGAGGAAATAGAGCAATATCTTGTACCATTGGCAGGAATTGATTTTTATATTTTTTTTAACCTAAAAATGAAAGAATCAAACTGTTGCAATTGAAAGCCTTGAGTGAACTGTGGAGCTGAGAATAACAGAAGACTTGTCCTTTAATGAAGGAATTAGCAACCTGCTCCTCAGTGGATACATTTTGAACTTCAAGGTCTTTGCAAGTGACGTTTTCTTGAACAAAATGAAAATCAATCTCCACGTGCTTTGTGCAAGCAAGAAACATTGGGGTTCCATATACTCAGCTTCTGTAGATGAACAAGATATTGGGGTCTGCTTGTTAGAAGTTAGAACCCCAGTGAACAGGATTATGACCTAAGAAGACAATAAAACCTATGGTAGGATTTATGTCAAAGAGATCACTAGCCCAATCTGATCAGCAAAGGCATGAAGGTTTAAAGAGTTTTTCGTATAGGAAAGACCCAGGTTGGGAGTGCTTAGAGATATCTCAAGATACATTTGACTACAGCTAGGTGAGTATTTCTTGGTTAATGCATAAACTGGCGAGCCTGATTTATTGCAAAGGTAAGATCAGGCTTGGCGAAAATTAGGTACTGAAGAGCCTCAACAATGCTCCTGTAAAAGGTAGGATCTGAGAGAGCAATGCCACCTGTTTTACCCAGTTTGGAGGATGCGGGATAGGGAGTTTTACAGGGTTTACATGCCTACATACCAGCTCTCTGAAGCAGATCCTTAATGTACTTAGTCTGAGTAAGAGAAAGAGAATCAAAGTTTCTGTGAACCTCAATACCAAGGAAGGAGTGATCGATCATCTCAAAGACTAATTGAAGATCAAGAATAAGGGTGTGAATGAAAGAGGGGTCATTATGAGTCAGGATAACAAAATCTAAGGATAAGAGTAATAGTGGTGCATCATCTACTTTTAGAAGGACACGTCATACTTGGAGAATGTATCTTCTAACGACCCAATATTCCCACTAATATCCTAAGAGATTGGGAGACCCACACTCATTACATGACGACTACATTACCTTAATTAGGGTATAAATAGGCAGACTATTGTCATGTCCAAAAAATGCACAAATATACCACAGGAAAATTGTAACCATCAAGAGAATTGTATAACCATCTACTTCCACATTGAGCAATAAAAACCCCGAGCAAGAGACTCCATTATAATAGATTAACCAAAATCTTTAGTTGATAAATTACTTCACTTCTTGTACAATTTACTTTATGCTACACAATTAGTTTAAGCTCACTGAATTTATCCATGATAACATCCATATTTACACCATCACTACACGAATTCCTTTCTCTCAAATTCCGGTATTTTGAGAACCATCAGAAATATAAGTGATATTTTGAGTAAGCTAGTTGTGGTTTGGTATACCCATGGGCCATAACCCAAACCAAGGGCTCAGTACCCACAGCTTTAGCGTAAGCCATGGCTTCACCCCCAAGCCACAGCTCTCTCTCTTTCTCACACACACACACAAACACACACTTCCACACAGAGTGAATAGAAAACTCTCTCTTTGAGATGAGACACAGTTAGTAGAACGTATTGGTGACTGATTAGGTGGGTCCTATCATTGGCTTAAGAATCCACAACATCTTTGTATAAGTCCCCAATGTGGTCTCTCGACCTTTGTCAGCAGAAAAGTAAAGTAAAGAAGCAAATCATACAGAGAGATAGAGGAAGAAGAAAGGTTGTCTTCTATCCTTTTCACCCTCTTAATAGTGATCTACAATGGCGGCCTCTGTTCAAAACCGGGCAGTTCGGTCACCTCGAACAGGGCTTAAACGGCGCTATCCGTGCCTTCAAGCCCGGTCGGTCCGACTCTCCGGTCCGTGGCTTCAAAATCCCCACAAGCCCAGAACTGAACGTTCCTAAAAACCTGTCATATTGGAAGATTCATCCAGCGATGATGATGAAGAAAATAATAGAAAAGACGCCATTAAGCAAGGCCAACGCGGAGTTGGAACCACCGGCTTTGGATTCCAGAGATGAAGGCACCGCCGATAATTAGGATCGAGCGCAAACCCATCATGGTTCGACTCACCGGAAACACCAGTCAACTCTGAGCCCTGAGCCACCTTGACTCGTCTCATGCATCAGGTTTCATCACTCCAGTCCCACTTCATTATGTTCGTAACCACGGTCCAGTTCCAAAGGTACATGGGAGGAGGGGACCGTAGAGGTGTGCGGGTTGGTTAAACGACCAACCCGCTTCACCTTGGATCAATTGGTCAATGGAATTTCCTTACAGGGAATTTCCAGTGACCTTGGTATGTGCAGCAGCATCGTAGAAAAGAACAAAACATGATCAAGAAAACAATCGGGTTCAACTGGGGAGCTGCCGGACTATCCACCTCGGTGTGG